GCGACTTATGATATCGTCAATCTAAATATTCTTCCACCGTTAATGAATAGCGATCAAGTTTAAAGCTAGTGACATGATACACGATCATGTTAAGCCTCACCCAAATGTATGGAGAGCCAACATATTAGCCATTCAGGAGTTTGCTGCTAAGACGGATTGGTTAGTAGATAATAGCTCATCAGTTGAAGAAGCATGGTCTATATTTAAAGGCAAGTTTAGTTCAGCTACGTCATCGTTCATTTCATACCTGATACCACGTGGACCGAATAGTAGTCCATCATGGATAACTAAACAAGTCAAAAAACTTTAAAAACATAGTAAGAATTATTGAAAGATGTTTATCTCTTCTGTCTCAGAACAATACAGATCCAGTTACCGTACGATTATGAATGCTTGTAAAGCGGTAATAAGTAAGACTAGACTGTCATATAAAAAAAACAATTGGTTAGGGATTGTTAAAAATAGTCCGGAGCGGTTGTTCACATGTATAAAAAGGTGAACTTGCAGAAGTGATGGAATCCCATTACTTTTTGTACGAGGAAGTCCGATAATATTGGCAAGGAATGATACCGAAATAGCTGGAGCTTTATCGGAATATTTCAGTAAAGTATTTTCTATCAGTAATGAGGAACGATCAACGATTCATTGTAATTTTGGCAGCTTGTTGATGGACCCTGTAGTTATTGAGAAAGGTAACGTCTTAATATTACTTCAACATCTCCATCCTGATAAATTCAGTGGGCCTGATGGTACTCATCCTAGGATTATGAAAGCCCTATCAGATGTAGTTGCTGAACCTCTAGTGGTACTGTTTGATATGTCTCTGATTCCGTTCGAATTTCCAAGAGACTGGAAAGACTCGATAATTAGTCTGGTGTATAAGGCTGGAAGTAGAGATTTATTTAATAACTATCGACCTATTTGCCTAACTAGTGCAGCTGTAAAACTGATGAAAAAATTTTTCCGGTGGCTGTTAGAAACTATGTGGAACTGCATAATTATATATTCAGGGAACATCATGGTTTTCGGAAAGACATTTCACGCTTGACAAATTTTCGCATTGCAAGGGAAGATCGGGCTGAAGCAAAATATCAACATATTCCTGTAGATGTCATTTTCATAGATCTAAGTAAAGCTTTTGATAGAGTCTCCCATAAGGGACTTAAATTAAAACTGAAAGGTTTTGGAATTCATCATAAGGTCATAGACTCGATTAGTGACTTTTTCCACGAAAGCAGACAAAAGGTAAGGATAAATGGAGCTCTCTCATCGTGATAATCTGTAAAAGGTGGAGTCCCCCAAGTCCCCCATGTAAATGAACAACCAATCGCAGCAAAGTCATCCGTTCTACTCTTCGCCGATGACATAAAGTTTTATAGACCCATATGCAGTATTTCAGATAGAATAGCATTACAAGATGATCTCAACTCATTGGTGACATGGATAGACGGATAGTCACTACAAATGAATACTAAGAAGAGTGTGGTGATCCAATTAAATAACTATGATGATTCGTAGTACATCGATTTGTGTTACTCAAAGTAATGGACTATGAAAATTTACGAGTCATAATAAGCAGTGATCTCAAAACTACGAGTAACTGAGAGACTGCTGCTGCTGCAATAGGCTGCATGGAATTTTAGGTTATTCATAGGTCTTTTCAATACATAGACGAAGAAATATTTAGATTATTATGACCGACATTTGTGTGACCGCATCTGGAATATGTGACTCAAGCAAAGAGTTCTCGTTTCAAGTATGAGGCGGGTATACTGGAACGAGGTTAACGACAAGGGAATAAAATGGTAAAACGTCTCTCTGGCTCGTCTTATGATGACAGAGTGAGTCACCCTTGTCTTACAGTAGAATAAGGGGTGATCTAATATTGGCTTATCATACACTGAATGATGACCTTAGTATAAATATTTCTTAACTTTTCCTTACGTCTAAGACTAATCATCTGAGAAGACATTCGAAGGAAGTTCAAAAAACGAGATCGAATCGTCTACATCTGGAGTTTCGTTTCTCTCACCGAGTACTAGAATTCTCTATCAGAACATGTAACATCAACACCTTCTTTTGATATATTCAAAACGAAATTGAACCTCTACTATGTTAAAAACCTATGATAATTAGAAGTATTTGAATTGTAGTATAAACTAGTAATCCCAGGAATAACGCAATTTAATCAAGAAGTATCAGATGAGCCCGAACGAATGTATTGTATTTGGAATTCAAAATTACAACAGTCATCAATACTAAGAAGTCATTGATTTATTTAAACATCACAAAACCGCAAGGATTAAAATAGTTCAATAGACCTTCTATCCTTATCATTAAGGACTGAACACTAAACACCAATCCTAACCCTGACATGACTTTTATTTTTCTTACTTGACTGTCCCTTTTATTTATCTTTCTTGTTCATATGTGCATTAGTGTTTATATGTACATATATACATAATTGAGATGTTTTTCATTTTTTCTCTACTTATTATTATTCATTATGTTTTCCTGTATGTTTTGAGTGGTAAATGTTTCTATTCACAATAACTTCATCTTTTCCTATTAGATTATTGTATTAGTCAAAAATGAATCAATCTAATGAACAATACTGAAAACTGTCCATTAAATTTATAATACTTGATTGCTCTCATTACCAATGTTCATTTCATTCTATGAAAGGGTTTTTTTGGATGATTTTTTTGTGACCTCAAAATTTAATCTAATTTTAATGTAAGTTAAAGGTTCATATTTTTGTTGGTTTACGGTAAAATAGATTAAATCTAATAGTTAAATGAAACGGAAAAAATAAAAAAATTCTTATTTATCATTTGAAAATTACATTTAAATAAAAAAATTAAAAAAACCCAATTAACTAGTTGAATCGAAAAAATTTCATATGGATAGTTTTTGCATTGATTTTTCTAAACAACAAAAACATAAAAAGGTAAATTAGTGGATTTTTCTAGCAAACTTTAATGTTTCACACAAAATCCACAGTGTGGTGCTTTTGTTACGATAGATGAATACAGAACTGTTAGCATGACATAGATTGGATTAAAATATGTTCCATACATGATTGCGTTGGAGCAGACTGATTGACTTCATTTTTATTCTATCAGCGCTAGTCGATACTTAGAGAACACTCTAGAATCTTCTTATGTAAAAACTATAAATATACTGACGTTTTTCTTATTGTGCTTCTTACTTCCATCCATTTTTGTTATTTGGAATATGATTTCTTCCTGTTCAACGGTGTTTTGATTTGAGGAGTTGTCGTGTGAATCGGTGTCCAAGAATACTGGGTTGTATGTAGTAAGAAAAATTTATAACAAGAACATAAAAATGATTTTGTTTGGTTCATTATGTTCCATAGCTTTTACTGTAGTTTTAACTACAACAATAATCACTATGTCAGGCTGAATTAAACTCTCTCTTCATCATTATACAAGTAAGAATCAATGTGTTCTGATGAAATTGTTTATGATATATTGTATTTTTTGGCTTTAGCTTTCTTAATTTCTCTAGAGATCTAACTAACTGCTTCCTATGACAGACTTTTGATCAATTGTCAATACTGACTTATTAAACTTAATCCAATCACCTGTGTACAAATAAAAGCGTGCAATGGTAATAAACTAAATTTATTATTATGCTGAATGACATACTTCAGTATCTTTAAAGTTCGTGTAATCCAGTACTTCAATGTTTGTTCAACTGAATTCTTATCCATAGTTTTATGAATGAGACCAAATAGGTGATCTCACACTGTATAATTTCACTAGTACTGTCTAAATACATTTCAAACAATTAAAATATTTCGTAAAATATGTTATTATGCGACAAATTTTACATCTCGATAAAAACTGAAATTTTGCAACCTTAAACAATCATAGAATTATGATTAGCCCTCTTGGTTTACATGAGAAAGGAACGTTTTAGTAAACATACAACGTCTAATTAGGTAATAATTCAGGTACACTCAGCTTCAATTAACGTAACTAGATTTTACTCATGTCATATGTCAGTACAAACACAAGTATCCAGTTTTTCTAAAGAAAATCTATCGGTTGTTTCAAATCAATAATTAGGTACTGTAGATAACAAGAATGTATAAAATTGACCTTAAATCAAATTTGTTTTTCTGTTTCAACAACCTTTAATTGCTAAAATAATAGCAAACAGTTTGTATGTTTGAAGTATCACATAAATCATTTATAATCTACGATGTCTGTGTAGTATACTTTTCTTACGGTACCTCATTGATCCTCAGAAATGCCAGTGTTAGTTTTGTTTCGTATATGTGTAACGATTTTATATTCTTTTATCTATGTGTAACTTAGTATCTAGGGTTTTTCTGGAAGGAATTCGAAATCAAGACAAGATAATATTAATACCAATAACATAAAAAACGAACTAATGCAAATAAATGTCCAAAAAAGTTCCACCAGCAACTGTGCAAGTTCAATCGGCAGTTTTAAAAACATTACAATTTAATCGCCTGTTTGACAATGAATAGAAATCTTCCGAAAAAAGGTTGTTAAAGGCAAGTATACAGAGTTAATCATTTAATTTTTACTTTAGATATAGGCGAAAATAAAACAAATCAATAGAGACTGTAGGTTATGGGTTCGAAACCCGTGCACGGGATTGTAGATATTCACTGTTAAGGAGTTCCATACAAGGATGAAACAGCCGTCCAGTGCTTCCAGGTTTTCATTGGTGTTTTAATATTGATCGATTCATGATCTCTATTAAAACTCGACATTCTCCACAACTGCATACTATTATGAAATTGTTTTTCACTTTACAGCATTCCAAATCTATACTTTCATTTACATTTTTTCTCAATATATCATCCCAGTAACTAAATGATATTAACAATGTAACCATAAAATATAAAAAAACAGGAAACAGTTTTAGTTAGCTTGAAAAAAAATCATATTGAAGCTAGACACAATCATACATTGATTGGTTGTAAATGTTTAACCAATCTAGTCTGAATGAATGTTAGAGTAAATACAATTATGTATTTTATTTGATTTGGTCATTTTTCAAACTAACCGGTTGAAAAACTCTTATGTATTCAAAAGAAAGATATGAAATGGATCTAATTATTCAACATTTAACATTCTTCACTAATAAAAGTTTAATCATTTTTTCGTTTATTATTATTATTACATCTTGTCATTCATTATTGTATACAGACAAATTCATAAATATTCCACTTGGTCGTTGTAATTTAAAACAGTTCAATAAATTAAATTCAGTAAATTGTCCAAATAAATCATGTAGTCAACATATTGATTGTTGGGTTAGTTATGGTCCATCACAAAGATGTGTTTGCGATCCAATCAAATGTGGATCAGTATGCTTACCAGGTAACAAAGTTTTAACCGTGATCATATTCCTATATGTTACGTAATTTTTATAAAAAAAACTGATATTTAAGATTATTCGTTGATTTAAAGCTTTGTTTTCAGATTAAAGAAAGAAATTAAGTGAATCATTAGGAATGCAGTAAAAGCTATTCCTTAGAATGAGATATTTACTTACAAATAGTTGTTTTTTGACGATTATCCATCAGTTGGTACAAGTTTCTACTATTTTTGATTGAGATTATGAATCGATTGATGTTAGACAATCATTGAAAACCTGGAAGCACTGGACGGCCGTTTCATTCTGTTGTCGGACTCTTCAGAGTATGCATAATACTATGCCAGAAAACAGTTGATTCATTGTAGTTTATAATACTTCAACAGCACATATTCATTTATACCCTAGAAAACAAGTGTTCAGTACTTTTTGGTTTCTAAAAATCACAACCTAAGGTTAACTTGACGTTGTCCTATCTCCAAACTAATTTATGCTCAATATAGTGTGCATGAGCTTCTAGTTACATTCACAATAGACGAAATGTCATTCAAAATAACCTTCCGAAAAAGTCAAGATCTGATTAGTTTCAAATTACTGCTCATACGTGTTTAAGTGGAACAGTGGAACTATGTCTTCAGTATAACTTCCAACCAAACACTTTCATGTAAGGAATTCAAATCCACTTTGTAATTACATTTTTTGTAATTATATTTAATTGATTGTAGCGCGAGAATCTGTTCAGATACTCATTTGATTTTTTTATTATTTCATTCGTACACGTTGTAGAAGATTCTATAATAATGAAAAAGCGTCTTTCTATATCTCCATAAAATCAGTCGACATAATATATGCGAATTTGTATACCATTTTTATGAAAGCGCATGACTAGGTAATAATTAAAATATTAAATTCAAACAAATATTAAGTCGGTTCACCATTGTGTTCATTGAGTTACTATATCACAACAGACCTGGTTGAACTCCAGAGGTCACGGCTTTTCACAATTTCGTGGATTGGTTGAAATTAACCATTAACCTCATTGGATGCCGACTCAGTGGTCTTGAGGTTAAGCATTGGCGCGCAACACCGAAAGGTCCTGGGTTCCAATTCCGGGAGCGAGATCGTAAGTGAGAACTACTGAGGGGTTCCATTCTAGGACGAAATGGTAGTCCAGTGCTTCCAGGTTTTCCATGGTGGTCTAGCTGTAATTTACTAATGAATTCAACTTTTAAACTACTACAATCTCCACAAAATTCTCTTCCGACAAGTTCAAATAACTTAATAGGACTCATTTATAGAAATGCCTAAAAATGTCAGAAGCAAATAATAATCTATTACATAGTTCAGATCATGAGTCAATTGAAGTTAGACCACCATGGAAAACCTGGAAGCACTGAACAGCCGTTTTTGTCCTATCGTGGGACTCGTCAGCAGAGAATATTATGATGTAATACACAGTAGAGAATTATGAATGATAACATGTTGATAGAATCTTTATTAATAAATATAATTGTAATAAATGAACTGTTCATTGTAACATTTTCAAAACATGTAAGTCATCGAAGAGCAATCACAAAATACAGAGTAGCTTTACAGAAGACTAATCATCGTGTAGTGAACAACGTCAAGTTTAGCTAGTTTTATCGATTGAGTTGTAGTGTGCCCATTAATGTGAGTACTTCCATATCCATTAGGTTATGTTCTTATATGAAGTGGTTGAACGTAGTTGATAGGATTACAGATACATCTTGCTGATAAGTTGCAAACAGCACAAAGACAGCACAAGACAGCACACAGAAGACAATCGCTGGCATAGATCTGTTGAATATCAGGTATTCTTATGGCATTCATAATAACATAACATTCAGTCATTGGCAGTTAGTTCCAACCAATAAATAAAAGAATTACATACCAATAGGCAAACACATGTTTCCAGCAACTATTGAATTTCTGAACATTCGTTTAATCGATAGAAAATTACAGTTTTGTTGATCATTTATATTATTCAGTTGTCATTAATTATTATTTTTAAAAGATAAATATTAAGAAGTAATTCTGTTCCACTTCATAGAGTATTTGACAAAATAAGTAAGTAATTCTACCATGACAATTATATAATTGAACCCGAAATTTAGAGGAAATCCATACAATACTCAGAGTTTGAAATGAATTCGTTCAATGTTTCAGATGGAAACTGTTATTAAAATATTCAGGCTGTGGTCAAATTTATGTATGAATAATAAGTTAAAAACTAAATTATATTAATGCCAATCGGCATAATTCATGGTGGTAATCAATCAGATAGCTACTTAATGGAGTAGATAAATACAACAATAAAGTTGTAGAATGTAAAAAATGAATGTATATCTACCACATCTCAAATCGGCACACTGATTACTCCAGCCATTTCAAAGTATTCATCCGTTTAGCATAAAAGATGAGTCTTCAATGATTAACTGACGTTATAAGACATGTTTCGATTTAAATACCTATTTATTGAGTTAATCTTATCGGCGTTATTCTTTTTATAAACGGTTAACATCTGAAGAATCAATGGAAATCAGGACAAATTTGGGGGAAGCTTTTTCTAAGTTTGACTACGCTGTTTAAGGCTTCAGGGTCTTTAGATGATTATTCACGAAGATATCAGAGGATTAAAAAAATGGACTCTAGGTTATTGTAACTTTTTGATACTTTAAATACTACAAAACATCTACTTATGTTATAAAATTAAAAATCATAATCTCTGTAGTCAACGTAGATATCATGCTCCCTCACTAGAGGTCGTTCTGTATTTAAGGAGTAGATAGAACACTTCTAGAAATGATGATGAATCAAATCAGCGTCAATAAATAAATTTCAAACGATGTAATTATTGCTTTGTAAAATAACGATTATCTGTACACAAAGTTACAACCGGTTTCGGCTTCAGCAGATACAAAACATATCAATCTATAAAATGCATTACATTTTGTCTTGATGTTGGGTAATTGAAAGAAATCAACATGAAGTGAAATATCAAGGTTTTTAACCTTTCTATACCAATTGTTAGGGCACATATATCAATCCTGAGGGAAGAGATCATTCTTTAGGAATTCAAAACCATATTCATTAATCGATATTATAAACGCTCTTATTGCAATGTTTCTACCAACGAATCTTCTTTTTTGATACTTGCATTACAATTAGAACGAGACGTAGATCAAATAAACCATTATTTGAAACTATGTATCATTAGGTATTATTGAGTACCAGGCAACGTTGGTTAGTTATTAAATGATAATTGGTTGTCATTCACGAAGCCTCACAAAGACTACAGCGGTGATTTGTAGATGTTGTGGAACGTATGATTTATTTTTCTGAAACTATTCATTTAGAAGTTCATGATCAATAGTTTGATTTTAGACAATTTTCGCTGTCAAAATGATTCCATCATCTACATATTTCACCCAGTCAGTATTCAATAATTTGCTGAAATTTTCGGGTTCATCATTGAGTTATAGTCTTGAAACGTACTAATCTTATGAATTTGTGAATCTTCATCAATTGAGTTGGTTGTGACCATCTTTTACTACTAAAGCGCGGTATTAAGTGCTATAGGATTAGGTTGGCAGAAAGCTGGAAGCACTCAAACTGAGACACAACATCTGTCAATCAGGTTGCTAATTAATGTTGAGTTCATTCCTTTATCTCAAATAATACTTACTTTAAATGATTTTTTACTTACTAACACTGATACCATAACCACTTCTACTACTTCGATATTCATCTTGTGTTTATCTAGTCCAACAACTTGAACAGATGTACATTTAACCAAGGTTCTATATCACTTATAACTGATTGAATTAAATACAACGTTTGTCGTAAAATTTAGCTTACCTTAGTGGTACTGAAGGTAGAGTTTCATTTTTGTTTTTCTGTATGAATTTTCTTTTAGAAAATGCTAAATGTCCAGACCCCGCACCACTATTAAACGGAAATGTTATATTCAATGATACAGATGTTGGAGACATTGTGGAATATACATGTAAACCAGGTTTAACTGTTCGAGGACAGCGTAAACGACATTGTTTAGCAACGTTAAGTTGGAGTGGTGAGGCACCAACATGCAGTAATCAAACTGAAAGTATGATGAACACATTGTTTGTTAGTAAATTCATATTAAGATATTTTGTAGTATATACTTTAGTGTTAATGTTAGAGGTAAAATGATCGGGTAAATGAATCTTCAACCTATAGAAATGACATGGATGAAGATTTACTGATTAAGGTCCGTGAGATAACTGTTATTCGTAGTTGAAATCTTCAGACATCAGCAACGGAATAACTCAATATACTATTGATAACGTGAAAATCATACCATCTTAAAAAGTGATTGTTTGGATGCGCTAATTCAATGGATGCTGTGTTGAAATTTGATTTAGAAGATACTGGATGCAAATCTTAATATGAACATGAATACTGGGGTTTTAGAACATGAACATGAATTTTATGAGTTCTAAATAGGATGAAACGTCCATTCTGAATTCCCCTGCTAACCTCAGCTCATCTATTCAAACCACCTTCAGACAACGTGACTTAAGTTCAGTCATGGTTTCTGAAACAGGGGGCCAATCAAGGTTATAAAATGAGAGGGCCACGTTGTCCCAATAAAAAGTGTCTTAGTAACTAGTGCATGTTGTTGAGCAAGAAATGGTTTCATTTTCTAAGGAGTAGACATAAGTATATATAAATAAAGATGGTGATGCGATGTCGTGGATTGACCGAAGTTGAATATTAACATCAGTTTAGTGGTCTAGAGTTTAAGCGCTGGTGTGCATGGACGGAAGTCTTGAGGTTCGATCCTTACGTGAACGATCGTAGATTCCTACTATTGAGAAGTTCCAAACTAGGACAAACTGGCTATCCAGAGTTTTCAGGTTTTCAGTGGTAGTCTAACTTGAACCAATCCATGATTTCGATGAAATTTAACAATTTCTAAAACTCCATACAATAAATGATTACTTATGCATTTGGTTCGATTTAACCGCTTACACTTCCGTTCTCGATCTGTTTTCCCACGCTGTAGCCAGTTGCGTTGTTGCACATATAAAGTGTTGTGCCTCAGTATCAGATTCGGATACCAAACGTTAGAACAGTGTTACAAATATATTCATTGATAATTTTCGTTTTGAATTTTCACTCTTCTTAACATCTCTGGTTTTTTACCGATTTGATTTCCAACGTTGTCTAGGATTATAATTCCAATGTTTTGCCATCAATGATAGTACTATTATTTTCGTGACGTTATCTTTCTACTTACTTCTCTGCATGAGATGTGATGAGTTAAACAGATGAACATTTGTTTAAAGTTCTTCTTTATATGCAGCTGAGTGACAATAAAGATATTTGTTTCTTTTGTGGTGGACCAGACAATATATAAAAGCAAAAGATATCAACAAAGTTAATAACAACCAATAGTAATATTAATATATACAAGTTAAATGTTACGAATGCAATAAATAATTGGACTTTACTTAAGTTCACCCGAAATGATGCGTGTTCGGCTTTGATCTGGTACAATAAATCCACAATTATAGATGCTTAGTAATTCCAAACGTATCGATGATCTTCCCAGTATTGTAATCCAAATTAAGATATGATGTATTCACTTTCTCAGTCTATGAATGTAAATAATATTTGTTTTAGAACTAAGTTAACTCAATCTCGAATGAAAACAGAATGAGGGATGTGTGAGTATTAATGTATTTGTCATCTAGAAAGAATATGTCACGCTATGTTGGAATCACAACGGAAAGTGTCTTCAAGATCATTGACTAAAACAACATGTACAGTCATTTAATGATGAATGTACATACAGTGAAAAATTGACAAAACAAATACAAATAATATTAAAAACTATTTACAAAATAAGCTTGTCGGTCATATCTCCACACTTTCATGAGTGTATCACATATAATGACTATAATATTCTAAAGTAGTGTGCAAATGAATCAGCTTATCGATAATGGATATCAAAATTTAGGTTGTTATATGTTCATTGAGTTCATAATTTAATTGTACACCTTTTATTGTAGCTCTGAACAATATCATCAGAAGCCTGAGAGAAAACGTGTTACTTAAGTGTCCCAATAGTGACAAATCAGTCCTTTCTCATGAAATAGTCAATGAATGATTTTTTCGTGAGATTTACCAAGACTTACCTGTCTTGGTATTTCTACTATTTGTCTTATCTGGTTTACACTCTCCTTATGAATGGATGAACAGAGTCTATGTTGGCATATCTCGTGATTACGGAATCACCTGAAAGTCATGCATACAGAAATCATCTTTGGTTCTTTGAATATCCTCAGTTCAGCATACCGAATTTTCCTCAATCAAACTTATATTCCTGACTCCTTGTTCACTAATTTCATACAGTTTCACTCACATTTTCTATTCAGATATATATACATGTTGTGGAATCCGATTTGACCCCAGTAAATTTTATCTAGAACGACAACTAAAAATTCTTAATTGATTGTGAGCTCAAAGGCTAGCTCATAGAATATAACGTGATTTAAAGCTTTTAAAATCTTCCACTGACTAACGAGTAAATTGTTCTGTTCATTAACATCGTTTGTTCACATTCAGGAGTACATACTGTTAAAGTTTATGGTAAACATGTAAGTGACAGTGTATGTACAATTGTTGTCCGGCCGTTATGTAATTAAGCAAGTTTTAACGCATTTATTTTGATACTTGTAAATCTGTACAAATAATTAGTTCATTTTCAACTTATATAAGCTTGTTTTAGTCCACCGGCTATCTTAAATACACGAATAATTCAACCAAATCAAAATGTTCCAGAGAAGATTCGTGATGACTATCGATCAGGTGAAAAAGTGAGAATTGAATGTATTCCTGGATATATGGATTCAGAGAGACAGTTTATAGAAGCATCATGTGTTGGAACGGAATGGAACTATTCAGAACTGAAATGTGAGAGTAAGCACAACTAGAGCTTTAGACCGTTTTCAATTAATTTAGTGTTAAGATAATTTTTACTTGGCTAAATTATTGCCTCAAGCAATAATATTTAATTTTATAGTAAATAAAATACCTCGGCTTGGACAAACAAAGAAACGCGAATTACGAAATTATGACACTTCCCAGATTTATACTAGAAAATTAAGAAAGAATTATTTTAGCCAATTTGAACAGTATGTTTCGGAGTTAACAAAAGATTTGGTACAGTTAGCAACCTGTTGTCTAGGCCAGCCCGTTTGGTCCAGAACACAAATAACAGCCTCCGCTATATGATTAATATATTATAAACATACGTAGTTTATATGCAAGCAGATCAGACTGAATAGGAGAAGTGAGCATTCGGTCACTCAACAGAAGATGGGGTCAATGATCTTCAGATTTGCTAAGAAAACAATATACTTGGACTATCGTCTTGAAACCAAGTGACTTATAGATTTAACTTCTATCGTTTCATGATTTGGCTTTAACATCATATAATTTAGTTACTTCCTTCTATATTTTCTCCTTTAAGGGGTTGAACTTCACAGTTCATCGTAAGTTAGCGAAAATTCAGGAAATCCATTCAAAAGAGAATGAGTAATTGAAATCGAGGTCTTCTTAAAGTTATAAATTTGAACCTTTGAATCTCGGAACCACCATCTAACTATATCTAGTGTAACGATATTTTGTGTTTTATGATCACGGAATTACATTTTGAACACTAGTATTCAACTTCATAAGTTTTATTAATTATTAATGTTTATGTTACAGGAGTGTCATGCGGTTTTATAAAAGAGCCAGCTTACGGATATATTCAATACAAATATGATCAGAGTTTTCAATCAGAGGCAATTATCTCATGTTCAGAAGGTTATAGAGTACATTGCGATACTGGTTTGTTGTCACTGGAGAGTGGCTTAGGTTAGTTATAAAAAGATCTATTATTCCTAAGCTTTTTGTCATGATTGGTTTGAGTGGGATGTGTTTAATAAAGTTTATATCATGGCGAAGTTTATTACGAGTATGACATTCAAGTTATTAGTAAAGACTTAAAGGCAGAACTACTGACTTCAGCCACTCCACTCTCATTAGTTCAATCCTTATATCTTTGAATCCGATGATATGTGAAGTTGGTTTTGATCCCACAAAAAGTATCACTTCCTAAGGTTTACAAATGCCCCATGTTCATAAACTCCAGGGTCTGTGGTCTAGTTTCAACTGATGCACACTCGCAACTTAGAAACAATATGCACTTAATATCCAGTTAATTGGATGGTTGGTAACTTGATCAATGGTATTAGCATCATAGACTTAACAAACACGATATTAGTCACCACTCAATGGTAGCTTATCAATAATTATTTTATACTTGAAACTATCTAATATTTGTATACAACTAATAAAGATAATCCCCAGCTTACACCACAAAGTTTGTCTAAATCAAACGAATTCACAAAGAGTGAAGTTTTCTAAACTAAAGATTGTCTTGGCACTTATTTACATGTTTCCATTCTTAGCTCCTAGACAAGGCATTTTTAGACACAAACATTAATAAGTTTGTTTTTTAACCTCCATTATAAAAAGCTTCTTGTGACATGCATCATGGATTGATGTTTGATAGAAAAGTAAAAGTTTTGTTAGTTTTGATGAACCTGCTTGCATTTGTTCAGTATTGACCAAACAATCATTATCGATGGAATTCTGTCTATAATAAACATCATTATTCATTTAATACTATTGTTGTGAACAGAACACGATAGTCAGATTGTCTGGAGTACAAATTAAGGATAACACTTTTGATTATTTATTTCTGAAACAGATAATTTAGGTTTACACAATATAATTGATAGAATCTGTAGTTAGTCTGTCAATCAGTCAGCTACAAGATAGGATCAGGCACATATATGAATCGGTCCAAAATGTCATACCTCAATAGAACAACAAGATAAACACCAACTTCATAGTAGATAATTTAATAGAGACATAGTACAAGAAGAAAGACATATGAAGCAATTTTAAACTTCATCAACTGACTTACCATCATTCCCCAATACTCTGCGTCTAGCCTCACTATCAATTACCCAGTGATCCCAGCACATGTGAGCTATATTTCCAAGGTATCTGTGGTCAAATACTAGTAGAATCTGTAAAACTATACTTCAGCGCCAAACGTCAGTGAACAATATGAAAATGGATCGACTCGTAAATTTCTTTGAGAGGAAATTAGTACGTTATTAAAATTCGAATGAGCTCAGGATTCTAACACATCCGAAAATTTTTTTCAAGGTTTCTTACAAATGAAAGTATTTTTGGGGTAATCATATGTTCGAACCTGTCAATATCATGTAACGTTCAGTTTAGGTAACTATATATGCTAAATCATTGTGTTTTTTGTGTATGATAATGGATATGAAAAATGTATCATTTTTAAGGTAAAGTAGTGCAGTCAAAACTTGTACATGTATCGATTGTTTAGAATATGAATAGAGCCAGATGTGCTTTTAAGAAAAATTACTTCAACTGTTTTTTTCCAATAGAGGGAAAACGGATTGAGCATTATATGTAATACTTCGGCTACTCGCCTCTAAATTAAGAAAAATATTTCGTATTTATTTTGATATTACTGAAAATAGCATATACTGCATTCAACGATTTAATTTATAGATTTTCCAACTCTAAAACATTATTTGCAAATTCTTTTGTGCAACTTAAGAGTTCCCTTGGACGAGTCGACGTTTCACGAGAAGACACTCCAACGAAGAATGCATCATAATCGACACAACTTGTTTGTAGACACATACTTTGGTGGATGTAAACATGATATTATTTTTAGTTTTAACTACAACATTTCTTAGCGGGTTGTCTGGTTTATAAATAGCTTCGCAGAGCGAACACCAACTCTGAGATGCAGTCTACATCCTGCTGACGAGCCCCAAATAGGACGAAACGCGCGTCAAACTGGATTCCATTGCTAGCCACTATCCATCTTTGCTAATATAGTTTGTGAATTAGGACTATATCGAGGCGATACGCACAATATGAACACATGTCAATAAGATACTAGACCATTTTAGTCCTAAACATCAATGGAAAGATTCAAATAAACCATACCAAGTGAATTTTTCTGAAAAGATTACAAAAGATCGTAAATCCTTTATTTCATACTACAAATGAAACATTTTTCATACTCATCGTCATACACAAAAGCTAAAACACAGTGGTTTATCATACAGAATCACCTTAACGAACCTAACATGACATTGACAAGTTCATGCTTGTTGTGATTTTGATAGCACTAAAAATATTCTGCTTTTGTTTGTTTCTTTCTATTTAAACTTGTGGTAATTTATTTCAGTTAGTTATTGATTTAATTCGAAGATGTGACATATACTGAATTAAGAAACGTCAGTAATATATATATATATATATATATATATATATATATATAACCGTTTGTAGTTTTGTTAGGCAATGCGTCCCCAAGTTATTTTGTGAACACTTACACTCATAAGTCAATGTAGACAACAGGCTGAGGACTTTATATAACTAACTATTAAAGTCAACGTATACAATTAAATCGTTTATCACTCAGTACATCAGTTTAATATAATTTAGTTGACATTTTACTTTGAACGAAAAACAAAAAGAACTCGAACCATTGCTGAATTCACCTGAATAAGTAAATATTTCATATTTGTTTTCATTCACACGACTCAGTTACGCCAAGAAACACTACTTTTTATCAGCCTAAAATAGTCTAATCAATTCACAAAGGTACTTTACAGATGAATGATACCATGAAGCTTTGAAGTTCGTGGAGAATAATGATAAAAATCACTATTTAGAACCCACGTTATGTCAGGTAGTTGAAGATAGTCAAGGGAAAACTCTGAACCTAGTTTTCATTCTGATTGGCACTTCTTATGAAGAATCTTGATGCAAATTATTTTCCTAATAGGATTTGAACTTGTTATGTCAAGCTTACTGGAATAGTGGTCACATTTCGATTCAATCAATGAAAGTTGGATCAACACTAATGGGACTAATGAATTTGACATTAACCAGTACTTCATAATCAAATAATTTAAAGAGTCTAATTATTTTAAACATGTTACAAAGTTTTATATTCATAAATTATTATACCAGAAATGCACAAGTTATGACTTAAATATTCTCAGGTTGTAGACGTATTTGCTTAGAAAATGGATCATGGTCGGGAGAAGAGGCAATATGTTCAGGTAAGCTAAATATTATCCACTTACGAATCTATTGGATTCATTAATATTTGGTGAAAATTTCCATTTTAACGTTTGGTAAATAAAGAAGGAACGAATTGCCTTTTGTACATCGCTGAAGCCATCGCAATCCACGCTCACAAACCGAACTTTTGTATCAAAAAGAAGTTTGTACAACCACTTTCTCTACTTTGGCCATCCGTATAGTAGAGTTTGTAGCAGAACAATGGTAAACGAAGAACTTAATGTAAGAATGAAGTGAAGGGACTAACAAGTTGGAATATACATAATAATAATAGTCGTTATTATGATACACTAAAAATATCGAAAATAATTTACAACTGACAGATGAAAAATAACATGAAATAACATTGAAACTCAATATCTGGTTAAAATCAAAACCTAATGAGCTTCCAATATATGTCCTTTAGGGTGTTCAAGTGTAACTGAAGATAATAATGTTGACCCGAACTTGTCACTTATTGACCACGTCGGGTTGTTATTGACAGGAATATACTGATTTTAACTTGTTGTACTTGGTCTCGCGTTTCTCACTTATGACGGTCCGAATAAGTTGGGGTATATATAATACATGTAAGACTTCTTAAAAATCACAACAGATGACAATTTATTGAGAGTAGCATCAGGATTTATTTATTTATTTATGATTATTGTTTTCATTGAAATAGCCATTACCTGTGCAGAACCACAAGCAATTTTGAATGGTAATAGTGTGATTAGTTCATATAATGTCAACGGAACTCATATATCTAAATGTGATGAAGGTTATGAACTTCATGGATCTTCGCAAAGAGTTTGTCAAACAAACGGAAAATGGAGTGGAACAGAACCGTATTGTAAAAGTATGTGATCGTTATTCGGATTACCATTTACTTTAAAGTATTTTTCTTATGATTACTGTAGTAAGTGTCATACTTAAATCTCTAATTTTATAAACTACGAACTAACTTCATAACAGTTAATAAAATACTAAATGATGAAATTCCCAATGAAACAATGTGTGATGAATAAAATGAAATAATAAGTTATGTCTGTCGCGAGGGTATAATTTATGGACGAACTTTAAACGAATTTCAACTGACCTTGACAAATATTACTCAATCAGGAAACAGATAGTATAGAATAAAAGTATATACAAAACTAAAGAATTAGAGTGGCTACATTTATTTTACATTGTCCAAAAACTTGACAAGGTTAAAAAGAGGTTCAAAGGTTCTACAATCGTAGTGCATACGGTAGAGGAACTCATCTAGATGGATCCATAATAGTAGGTTTCTGGAACCATGATAAGGCCACAAATACTCTTTCAACCTCGGTCACATAGCCTCACTATTATTTGTGTGCACTCTGATTGTGTTAGGTTGTCATTTTTATTACGCATATATCTCTACAACACTCATACCACTGAAAGGCCGAAGCTTCAGTAACATTTGAGGATATTACAGCCGATTTTACTGGTGCTTTAACTGTACAATTCACAGCAATTATTATAATTTGCCTTAGTCTCAATCTGGATCGAACGAAAAAAGTTCCTACTCTAGTATACTTCTTCCTCCAACATGAGTAACACCGAAAGACAACATCATTACGGTAGTCTGCACAAGATCGACAAGTCATTTGATCACCGCAATTATAAATATAGGAACCTTTCAGTAGTCCCATTTATTGTAGACGCTTATTTGTCACTTCTTCTCTAAAAGCCGCTGTGAACCGATCGCACTTGAGCATCAGGTACTGGAATTGGTGCCGTGACCCTCAGACGTTTCTGATTGGCTCGTCCATAATTTATAGTCTCACCAAAGAGACTAGAGAATTTCTTTATGATAAACTGATGTAGGTACTACAGTGAGATTATAATTTATGGAGAGTTTTCGAGAGACGCTGAAATGACTTTGAAAATGTCCATCTACTTACTAGCGCCAATTAAAGATTATAAATTAGTGTGAGGAACTAGGATTAAGATTTACAACTGAACGTTAGGGTTAGAAATTATATTTAATGTTTTCATCACGAACAGACATCAGCTATAATCCCGAAATGGTATTTAGCCGAATGAGTGGATGAATTTCTGTCCAAAACATAAGATTTTTTTATCTCTTATCTGATTGGTTCGTCCATAAATTATCGTCTCGCCGAAAACTCTCTTACCGATGTTATGTAATCTCAATTACTTTCTATAACCAAGTATAAAATTTCAAATACTCACAGTAAAAACTCCTACTCAAATGTAAAGAACATTTTTGTGAAACCTAGATGGTTAAAGACAGTCAAATATCGCTAATTTTTATCAATATTCATTATTAAAAGATTATTGGTCTAATGTATTCACCATTACAAAAAGGATTCTAGAAATGATTCCCTTTGTACATGTGACAGTAATTGTGAAAAAAAGTTACATTGCATCTAAGCTTCGGTCATCAAGAATTTGTCGCTTACTTATTGATGGCATTATCAAGCCAATGAATGATTTTTTTGCACACTTGAGGAATGAATGGTTTAAAACTATGTATAAACTGCTTGTTTATGATGCACAATGTTTGATTTTACAAAGTATGTGTTCTGAAGTGAATCTACATATCAAATTAGATTGAGGTGTGAATTATTAAGGTTTCAGTGAAAAACTGTTACCGATGGAGTATATCTAACCAAGTACAATGAGACAGATTTCTCTGATGGCAATTTCTATAACTTGTGGCTGAGTGGATCTCCTGTTAACGTATGATGTGATAAGACCGTTAATCAAAGAGCAGCGATTTATCGATTGGAACAGTGACACACAGAAATCGTACGAGCAGTCTAGAATACTTATTGGTCGTGCTTCTGCCTAGCCCAGCCAGTTGAGTCCAGAACAGCCTGTGTGGTATGAATCATTATATTTCAAATATACTGAGTTTATATACCAATCAAACTGACTACATTGTACCAATAAAATAGAAAATAACATTTGTACAAGATTTAGCCAAATGTGGCTGTGAATGTGGGAGGTAGCAATTAATAGACTATGGATAACTCAAGAATGGTGAATCGTACAATATTAGTCTATAGGTCAAAATAAAGCTTACAATGAAAGGAACATGAATATGAGTAGTTTAATTATTTAACAAATATACGATAAAAACTATATGCATAATATTGGTCCATAAATGGATATCAAAGTTACCATTTATTATCCTTATCGGGGCATAACAGCAATAAATGATCATCACTGACACTAAAAGTGTGAAACATTGGGAAACGTCTCAATGGCTTTATGTTAAAGCTCCTGCCTCAAAATTTTGAGATTTTGGATTAGATCACTAGTAAGGTGATAAATATGAAAAACTGAAGAATTTGATACTAAAATGAACTAGTTATTTAACACTCTGTATTTTTCTATGGTTCACTGAATAATATCATTCCATGAAATGGTGTTACACTCAAAATTTAAAATCCTCACATATCTATTTTAATAAAAGTCATGTACATACTAATTTCAATGAACTTCTGGGAAATCTTGATCGACAATATTCACCAATGAATATTCTTATGTCTTCTGCGTATCACAAATGTCGAGAATGTTTGAGTTCATGTTTGTTTGACCATTCATTTTATGGTTTTGTAGAAAAAGATTGTGGACCACCGCCTCAAATTCAAAATGGTGAAGTAACATTTACAACCACAACGTATGGAAGTAAAGGAAAAGTAACGTAAGTTCAAAACACTCAATAAGCTTATTCTCTCGAACACAATAACTTAGTGGGAATACAGTTGCAGTGAAAAGTAGTTAAACCGCTTAAAAATCTCTGCATTTTGTTATTCTTCTCTAATATAAATACATAATTTACATACTCAATGCCGATAAATGAATCTCTCAGTAGGTAAACGGTCTCACAATTACCAGACGAAGGATACATTATTTCAAAAATTATTTCTGTGTGATAGTGATAAGTAAAATTGGAGAAAATAGAATGAGCCAAAATAAACTCCGATTTTATTGGTGATCTTCTACGAAAGACCCTTCAATAGATTAATTACTTCTTTTATAAGTTCTTTACATGTATTGGCATGTATTTATCAAAACAGTGGTAGATTTATAGAACAGATGGACTGTAGGTAGCAGGGGCATACAATATACTCATTTCCTCCCATTCTAGGCCAATCAGCCAGATGAACCTGCATGCCAGTGTTGATTTTCGCATTGGACCGCAAACTAAGTACATTTCGCTTCAAACATCAAAAGTGTCAACCATAAGTTTAGAAAGAAAAATATTAGTGATTCTGATACTAGATAGAGATTTTAAATTATCGTCAACTGAAAAATAGTAGGGTCCATGATTCAATTAAAGCTAGACCACCATGGAAAACCCGCAAGCACTGGACCACCATCTCGTTCCATTGTGGGACTCCTTAGAAGTGCGCATCCACGACCGTGCCTCGTAAGGTTCTAATTCAGAGACTATCGGTCTCGCGCGCGAACGCTTAACCTCTAGACCACTGAGCTGGCCGGCATCCAACGGTGTTAATTTCTAACTTCAACCAATCCGCAAAATCGAGCCAACGTTCACTGTTGTGTTCAATGAGTTATCACCTCACAACAGACCCGGTTAAACTCCACTGCTCAAGATCATATGTAGACTGTTTATACGGTGGTTTTTAATGATCTCACTATTTCTTCTTAAGACATCTAATTTCTTATGTCTAGTTCACTTTACATTTTCCTTACTTTTATGAAATTATGACGTCATTGAAATTTTATTACGCATTAATCATTGAGTCAAATTGGTAACACAGAATTCATCTTTATGCTATTAGTATCGTCTCGATCATATTAAACGTAATAAAAAAAGCATCATTCGGAAACATTCAGAAGTTACTGTATATATTTGTTGACTGAAGCATCGCTTACACTATGTATAGTTTGTAGTGGCAGGAAAAATGCACGTTTCGCGTCATTTAAAAATTATTTACAGGATTTACATGTCTTTACTTGTATTTGTGTGTTCATTAGACTAGAAGACAACCTTTCAAAGGTTTATCAGGAAAAAAGTCCCCATAAACGTTTACATGTAAGAGAAAAAAAAACCTATTTCTACCAGTTTTACGACATTTATTTATTATGAATGTCGACATTTCACCTACTGAACGATGAAAATAAAATAAATTTATTTATTGAACATTTTTCATTATTTTTTTAATCCTCGTTGTCGACTCAGTTATGACGATGTGATAAGGATGCTAATAAAATATAGATTTTACACTGTTTACTTACTTACTTACCCGTGTTACCCGTCGTCGAAGAGCATAGGTCACCGACCAGTAGTCTCCATCCATTTCCGTCTTGGGTAATCGCTCCCAGTTGTTTCATGTTGCTATTTATCCTTTTCATATCTTTATCCAATTCTCGACTCAGTTTGTTCTTTGGTCTTCTTTTCCTTTCCTACTCAGGATTCCAAGTTAGCGCTTGCTTAGTGATGTAGTTTGATAATTTTCCAATGTATGACCTATCAACCTTCAACATCTTTTCCTAATTTCTACCTTACTTCTCACATACTTTGTCGACTAAGTTACTTACTTACGCCTGGTACTCCCAATGGAGCATAGGCCGCCAACCAGCACTTGTCGACTAAGTACACTAGTAAAATATAGAAATAAAAAGTCGATTGCGAAAGTGTTTCAAAATATCTTTCAGACATTCACTTTGAAAGACAGATTAAGAGGAATGTATGTGAATTGATATAGTAACCTATTTAGGGGATGATGAGTGACTGAGTCTTTATATAAAGCGAATAGTACACAAATTAAAAATAACCAATTTCAGTATCGATAACAGACGCACATAAACCAACTACACATGTAAGGGAAAATGAGTGTAGTTAACATGGTTACCAATAATAGAGGTATGTAGGAAGTTTATAAAATGCCTGACAACATTACAGTTAGATGTTTAATCAACAGAGTTACTTAGACAAGAATTGACTTCTATATCGTGATTCAAAAGCTAATCAACACTTGAAAAAGCAAACAAATTAATGAGAAATTATGGACACAGATTTAATTTTATCACTGAATTACATGTTCATTATAAACTTAGTGTTGATAAAGTACTATCTTGTCTAATAAATACTCTAGCAGTGTTATAAAAACTTTCTGTCAATCGTCAGATTGAAAGGTTGACTGAATCTTCCTTTTAGTTGTTCAAACTATCTCTGAAGGTTCACAAAACTTACACTGAATAGTAACAAAAGACCCAATAAAAGTAATAACTATAATACATATAAGGAAATTATTGCTTTCATCAATTATTCTCTAATTAAAGATAATGTCACCAGGATCGAATTAAAACCGAAGTAATAGGCCTTTAATCCCAATGCTACTGACCTTATGTTTATTTCTGTTCGTTAACTAACGATCTTCATATTTATTCGAAAGACTATCTGCACTACATAATTCTCATCAGTTTTTACCATAATAGCCCTTATAAAAAAAAATTGTGTTTTTTCTTTCTGAAATAACAACTGTTCGACTACATCAGACGTAAACTTCTTAAAACTCGTGCTGTGACAATAATAAACAAAGAAATACTTTAGTAAAACCTCTGACAGCTATCACTAGTTAATTACCACTACAGTTTTTAGGTAAACATTTAGTGTAAACAGATAAACAAGTTAAAAATAAACTTATTGTTATTTAAAACATTGCTATGCAACGACCGATTACCATCCCATAATATAAATATTGGTAACTATTTAAAGCATGCTTTTGACTATTGTGATTCAAGAAATAGTTTTAAAGTAATTAAGTAATACACTGAATAGTCACTTAAAAATTAAAAGTTAATATATTATAATTTAGTTCTTATTGATAGTTGAACTATGTTGTTTTAAATTCATGGTACTTCCAGGATATAAAATTTAACATTTAGAAACTCAGTAGTTAAAATCCAATGATTGAAGTAAGTATGTATGAATCATTGACACTGAAAAACGAAGAATAATTTCAGTTCACAATACTCACTGTCTTAGTCGAAGATGTTGACTACTGCCAAGAGATCAATTCTTGAATTCATCTCAGTCCTATAAATGATGAGTTCCAGTCTTAAAAGTTCAAAGTAAACTCTTCTGGCCGTTAAATATGATCACTGTTGTTCGGTGATTACAGTTCACTTTTATCAAAAAAACCAAGCTTATTTAGGAAGATCAATAATCCAGTAATTTTTAAATAAGTAAAGTTTCCCTGGTGGTCTAGCATCAATTGACTAACGCTTTCAACTATAAAAATACTAAATTTCCACAAAAACCCCTTCCGATGAAACATAGAAATGTTTGGTTTTCCATTAGTTGTTCAATGTCGGAGAATCATTGAAGGATGGGAAATTTCCATCAATACAGACACAAAATTAAACATTCCGTACACGTTATATACATATCCTGTATAAACAATTGTCCATCTAAGCTCATTAGGTAATTGTTGTTTAGATGAAATGTATTGTCATGTGTTCAATCATTGAAAATCACAATGACTTTTAACACCGTTTATTATTCAATATTGCGAAATAATACAAGCGTACTCGTTATTGACGGAGGCATAAATCTGTATGCATTGTACAGTAGGGTATATAAATTTACAATTATACCGCACGTAATTACTTTGCATTATGAATAGAAAAAATCTGATTTATAGCTTTGATGACAGTTTACAATATAGGCCAGATAAATATTGAGTGATAATCATCCATTGAGTATGAGGATACTTTGCATTACTTTATTAATAATTTGTCTAAATATACATGTCGTCTACCCTTGTATATTTCATCGACTTAATTCGCGATGGTGAACAACAGAATTAAATAAGTTGAATACGAGGTTGGAGGATTGAACACGTATATTTAGTACAGTCATTCATCCAGATAAGAAGTGTGCACGCATATGTGCTCATATAAAAACAGTCAAGGTCGATAAGTAAATAATTACCAAGGTCAAAACGTGATTCAAGAAGAATAGGTGAACTGGCTTGTCCGGAAGCTAGAATAAGGTATATGGGCTTAACATAGTAACCGACACTACAAGTTGAACACCACCTGTCACAACTTCTCATTGGACGTCAGTTGTTATAGTACATATGATAGAGTAGCAACCAATAATTCATTTTGAGTGAGCCGTGTCTCACATAAGATATAATCACAAATAGATTATCTTAACATTGCTTATTTTTTTCAGTATTTGTAAATTTCAACTGAAAATCTATCCTGATAGCACAATTGTTTGGGTTAGTAACAAACGAATAATTAACACCAATTCGGGATAATATTTTCTGGCTTTATTGTAACAAACTCAGCTATATGATGTTTCTTCGACGAATAACTCAGAGTTGCATAGGAAGAACAGTTAAGATAATATAAAGATGCTTGAAAATGTGGGAGTTTCACTCTTGACTTTTGACTAAGAATATTAATCATTAGTTGATTTCTATTTTTAAACTAGATGTGAAGCAGATACAACGTTATCAGCTGAAAATGATGAAGTTATTTGTAGTGTAAACGACACCAAGGCTATATGGAAACCTCAACCATTTCCACAGTGTTATAAACATTGCTATCTATTTACTGTTGAACATGGAGATGTCTACTTGATAAATAGTAAAAATAATGGTAATAAACAAATCATAAAAATCACCACAGAAGAATTTGGTATAGGAGAAAATACACAAATACACCTAACAAATGCTATCTCTAATCAAATCATTTTACCTGGTGGACGAGTTAGACATGGATCAGAATTGAATGTAACATGTCAAGTAGGTTATGCATTGATTAAATCAAATCAACCAATTACCATTTGTCAAAATGGAGTTTGGAGTGTTCGAAGTAAATGTATTCCTGGTATGTGGAGACAATTTTAACCTACTTTTTTATTTCATATGAATAGAAATAAATACAATATATTCATATTACAATAGGCATTTACCATTTATAATAATTGAGTTCATGGGTCAATTGAAGCTAGACAACCAAGGGAAACCTAGAAGCACTGTACAGCCGTTTCGTCCTATTGTGTTTTATAAATTAATTCACTGTAAACTATTATTATTAGCCTCTTGTCAATTGAAATATTTCAATATACCCTATAATCTTTCAATGACCCTAACCCAAACCAACTATTTTTATTCAAAAGTAAATGTTTTCTACTTACACTGAAAGGAAACTGTAATATGTAAACTGCCTTGATGAATAAAACTTTACTGTATTATAAATGCAGTTTTCAAAATCGATACTACCGATCGAATCTCAGAGTTCATCAACATTTCAACTTTTTATCACTATCTCATCAAATATTATGAGTAAAGAGCTAGACTAAAAGTAAATTCACTTGATATTGTTTGTTTGAATCTTCCCGTTGATGTTTAGGACTTCAGTTGATCAGTCTCTTATTGGCTTATGTTCGTACTGTGCGTATTGTCTCGATAATGTCTTAATTTACAAGCATACTAAGCAAAGGTGGATAGTAGCTAGCAGTGGAATCCAGTTTGACGCGCGTTTCCTCCTATTCGGTACTCGTTAGCTGGATGTATCTGCATCTCAAGTGGCTATCAGAACTCAGTAGTTAAGTGGATAACGTGATGACGTTTGAAGCGAACGGCACTGGGTTCGAGTCTCAAGGTGAACGTCAACTCTGAGATGCAGGTACATCCATCTGACGAGTCCCAATGAAGACGAATCGCGTGTCAAACTGGATTTCACTGCTACTCACTATACATCTTTGCTTAGAAACTATAGATATTTGTAATATTGTGGATATAATTTAGGGGTTCTATACAAACAGAAATACTAAACTTTTCTTAAAAAGTCAACAACAGAATATTGAAAGTATCTATAATTTATAAGCTTATGTTTATATAAACTAATCATTCTCAAGTACTTTATTAAATAGGGTAACTAAACTTACCCCATATAAAAGGGAAATGACATCTTGACAGTCATATCAAACTCATCTAATTGCTATTACACTAGAAGAAGGTTATTCTTTTGTGGAATGAATGTATTTCTGACTAATAATGAAATCCAAAATGTGGGTTTGGTAATCCCATCGGATCTCTAATACTGCAACGTTCATTTCAATCGTCCAACACGTGATTCATTGAAATACTCAGTTCATGGAGCCACTCCATTGTGCAACGGGTATTATAATTATATCATCATTAGGAAGGATTTCTTATTGACATTCTGGACTGAATTCTCTATCGGTTTTGGTTGACTATATGCATCAAACGAGGATTACCTCAATACATCTATTATGACACATGTTTTTATATGATAAATGAAATATGTCCTACAGCGGAATCCAGGATAAGCGTTTTGTTCTTTGAGTGTTCACTATGGGACTTGAAATGATCTACCCTATGAAAGCATATGAAAATGGCTACATCGATTCAGTCAATAAAGTATACACAGAAATAAACTAAGACTGGTCAATACTTCAGTCAAGAAAATTGACAACAGGACGACACGAATTCTTTCGAATAACGACATAACATTGAGTTTTCTTAACCGTGACCTTTACTGACTTAGTTCGGATCGTTTCTATAGGTAGTAGAGTTTAAACAATATTTATGATCATTTTCTTTCTTTTATCAAAGCTCCGTGCAGAAGACAACCACCAAATTATCCTGGTGCCAGGGTGAGATTTTATAGTCTGAAACATAACTCCTTAGCAAGATATGAACCATTTCCTGGCTATATGTTGGTTGATAGTCCTGAGAATCTACATCAATTAAACAAAGCGAATACCCATGAAGATCTCAAAGGAACTTTACGCTGCTTAAATGGTGAATGGATTGGAGCTCCGTTGAAATTCGAACCAAGTTAGTCAAACCCCCTTATGTATTATTTACTTTTAAAATAATTTGATTCATTAATTATACAGAAAGCAAAAAGTAGGAAATTGGAATAGACTATATGTGTAGAACTAATACTTCCAAGTTAATTTCTGTTAAACGAGCATTAATGGCCTATTTTATTATTACATTTCAACTGCAGTGAATAAGAACACGAGTGAGGACAATCGAATGTAATGAAATATGAAATTATAGAGTAAAATCTGAGAATCATACAGTAAATACTTCATTTGCAAAATATTAATCAACTGTGTCAAACTTGACTGTTCCTTTTGCAGATATCAGTCAATCGTCTCAAATTTCATTGTTCATGCATTTTCATACGAATTGTTTTCGTTCCTATTCTTTCCTTCCCAATTTTCTACTGAAACACATTCTATTCCTGACTATCGTTGTATACTGCTTATGTGGATATAAGTAGCCCACACCACACAACCATTACTTGAAATTGACCTAATCCGATTTAATGTTCAAAATTATTCAAAGATTTAACGGATTCGAAAGAAATTGAAATAGGACATGATGTAATATGTATTTATTTACCATCGATAAATAGATAAATAGATATAACTATGAACAACTATCGAAGTGAGCGTTAGTGATAACTTATTATGTGATCATCAGTATGGGGTTGTGGATATTATTAAGTCTTTGATTGAGATCATCAACCAACTGATGTTAGACCACCTTTGAAACCCTAGAAGCACTGGACGGCCGTTTCGTCCTATTGTGGATCCACACTGCTATGTAATCATTGAAAAATTGATAAAAATTAATGATTTCTATACTTATTTGAGCGGTAAGTAATTCTCATTTTTCATTTTTAGTGAACTGTCCGATTATAGATGTAACTGAACCATTAAAAGCGAATATTTCAACTGATGGAATGTTATTTGATCTCCATAATTCAAATGTAATCCCAAAACAAGAAACAATGATAATATTCTCCTGTTCGAAAGAATATTATCTAGATGGTCCTAAGTACGTAATATGTCATCTTGGTCATTGGACACCGAAACCAACCACTTCATGCAAAAAAGTACCTCCAATGTCAAGCATACAACAATGGTTGTTCAATCCAGGATAACATTTGTGGATATTTGATGAAAATTCTTATGTATTTACATTTAATTTTATTGTTTCGTTTATATTTAGCTAAAAGTATTATGTTAACGTCTTCATTCAATAATGATTTTATGAAATTTTGGGAAAAGACTACTACTAAATGTTTCTGAAAAAAACCAGACAATACAGAAAACTGTAAAATCGAAAAACAGAAACGAACTTATCCGATTTGAAGATCTAGTTCAAAGATCACGTGAACATCTCATGTAATAACTCACAAACCCGGTCATAAACTCTCGAATTTCGCCAATATGCAATGATATCGTAATTATGACGGAACCGATCGCTTCAAAAAACGGTTGTATACAGTTACAGTGAAGAAATAAAGCTAGTAACGTCTCAAGATAAATGAAATAACCTTATATTATGATTTCAATTTCATAGGGCTGATTTCTTTTTTATTCTCTCTAATGAACCTCTTAAACAAGTGATACCGGAAGTAATGAACTGGAGCACACAAACACTTAACCGTTACTTATGTAGGCGAAATCACAGCTGTGCAATTGTAATAATAATGATTCAAGGCCGTAGTCAGTAAACTTGTTTAGAACAATACTATATATGTAGAATAAGTTTCAGAACAGATTGGATTGATAGTGAGCAATTTAATTCATATCAATGGGTATTTTCATCTTTATTCAATTACTGATTGTCTAAAAATGGTGAAACATCTCTCAAAATCCCAGTAGGAAACTTCATACTTGACCTCTACCAATAAAATTGATTGGTCAGGGAAAAATTATTTATGCCTAAAATAATAAGTGTTATATATTTGAATGTGATCACTGAGAAGTCATGGATTTATATATTAGGCTAATGGAAACTACCAAAGTATATCTTGAGGGAAGTGATGCATCTCAGACAGTTCAAAACAGTTTTACCTAGTGTCACAATAATAGACATGAATGATCAATTTTTCAAGTTACAACTGGGATATCGGATACATAAGATGCATAACTTAATCTCAAGATTCTACTTATCTGTCGCCGACGACTTTCCGGTAACATAAAATTATGTTCGAAAGTTTTCCGACGACAATCCTCTACCACTTGATATCAAAGCATATTTCATGTGATGTTAATTTAGTTGTATAAACGTAATCAATATAACAATTACATCAATTTAAACAGTATCGGTGATTAAAAAAGTTAACACTGAAGTGAAAAAACAAAAATAATTGAGGAGAAATTCTTTCATGTACCAAGTGCAAATTTTATTCATGAGTTCTCTGACATAAATTTGTAGGTGTCTATAGAGAATCTGCTAAATAAACGAGTTCATATTATTCCTCTAGGGTCCGTGTGCTTGCTGAGGTTGAATATAATTCTTCACTGAACACTTGATATTTTGAGTTAAAATAACGAATAATATCGGTTCTTTACTCACCTTTGTTATTAAGCACTCAATAATGAAGACATATGCAGTATGGAATTTGAAAGTGTGTTAGTGCCTTTTATTTCAATCCAATCCATTTCTAAAGTTGGATAATAATGTGCTTTTTTCTCAAGCATTTCATAAATGTCCATTCACAAAAATGTTGAATAACGTTCACTTGGTGTTGTTTACTTGAATCTTCCCGTTGATGTTTAGGACTTCAGTTGATCAGTCTCTTATTGGCTTATGTTCGTACTGTGCGTATTGTCTCGATAATGTCTTAATTTACAAGCATACTAAGCAAAGGTGGATAGTAGCTAGCAGTGGAATCCAGTTTGACGCGCGTTTCGTCCTATTCGGTACTCGTTAGCTGGATGTATCTGCATCTCAAGTGACTATCAGGACTCAGTAGTTAAGTGAATAACGTGATGACGTTTGAAGCGAACGGCACTGGGTTCCAATCTCAGAGTACATCCATCTGACGAGTCCTAATGAAGACGAATCGCGTGTCAAACTGGATTCCACTGCTACTCACTATACATCTTCGCTCAGATTGGATGAAGCTTTTATGAAGTTATTAATCAATATTCTTGAAAATTTAGAACCATATTGTTAACCAAATTTGTCTATTATTTATGCTTATTTCAAATTGTTCACATCTACGTTTGTAGGCAGTGGGTGAATCAACCATAAATCATTCACTGTGATACAAATTCATTCATTTTATTTATCTTCCCTTTTAATTGAAATTAATTCTGTGATTTCATGCTTCAAATACATAACTTTCATTTGCTCATTATAAAAAATATAGTTGAATATTTTCTATCATCGACATAATAATTTAAACTCCTTAATATATCTCATCTGTTTAAATGTCTATCATTTTAACATTAATACATCAATAACCAAAATGAACAATTCAGACAATTTTTAATCATGAATAAATTGAAGCTAGACCATCATGGAAAACCCAAAAGCACTAGATGGTCGTTTAGTTGTAGTATGGGACTTATCAGTAGTGCACATTCATTCATATTATTCTTTGTATACATGCCCCTTATGGTCAACTATAACATGAACCTTTTCATAAGATTTATTCTTGAATTAATAGTACTTAAATAATATAAAAAATTATATATGATTATTGTTCCAGCGAATAGTTCTCTTTTCGGCTCATTCATTTTGGAAGCTGTACAATCGCAAACATATATAATAATTACAACAATACTGATAATAAACTTCTGTTAGACATGGTGACAGTGAGGTAGAATAAACAAAAGTATTTAGAAATTTTTTTAGACAGGGAGACCAGTAGTCGTTTGATTGTCAATGGCTTGAATAATCATCAAAAGATAGATAGGCGAATTATCATCGAGAAAGGATGGCTCAGCATTATAAGATTAAATGTTGAAATTGAGATTAAATGTAATCAGGAGGATCGTAGAAACAAAAATAAATTAGTTGGGGGTATTTTTAAGGGGAAGATGTAAGGGGAAGCAGAGGTCTATGAAGAAAAGAGTACGAGAAAAGAAATTTAAGACATTAAGACCATGGTAGAAGAAAAGGTTGTATCAGTCTTTTTCTGACACATAATTCTGATTTTCCAAGAAGTATGGCTACTGTTTTGTCAATGCTAAGAAGATGAAATATAATTGTCTTTGGAAGACTTCTACTTACCTTGTAGGTGACTTTGAACGCATAATCTGTCTTGAGTGACCTGTGCTGACAAGGCTTTCGATTATTGAACGTTTTATTCAGCCGTTTCCTCCTCTTCTTAGCCGCACCGCATAATGTTTATGAATTATTTTGGATAACGTACGTATCGAACGTCCTTTATGCCTGGCTCTACATGAGCAAGTAAATTGGTAAATGCACATTGAGTTGTTCAGATGCGATAATTTATCTTCAAGATTATTAATGAACAATGATCGGCTGGAGAATACTATTCGCAATGTTGTTGTGAAGAATGTTATTTTCAAAGAATCAGAAATTCTGCTGTTTAAGACGTATGTGGCTCTGTCACACAAAATTTCCTGAACCATATGTTATTTTGAAAATTAATGACTGAATGCAAGATCTAGAGTACTGTAGCGTCGTGCTCGTATGGCGAGGTATCCAATTATATTGTGGCGTAAATCTGATTCCTTTTTGATCGTACGTACTGTCTATCCTCGTATATAATAAATGACTTTATCCGCGTTGGTGAACAACGGAGTAAAATACGTCAAATACGAGAATGGATTCAGAATACATATATTTTCTACACTCATTGGTCTGATCAGGGAATCAGAGTGATGAAGCGAATAGATGTGAGCGGAACGAAGCAAAGATCATGCGCAATGGAAATGAATGGACATTAGTGGTATCGAGAACATAAGTTCCTACTATCGGGAGTATGACTCCAAACTTATGTCTATGATAGAGTGTAATGTTAGACCGAAAATGACATGAAAACAAAAATTGGAAAGAACTCACCTAAATCAGCAAAATTTTACGTCATTGGATAATAAAAATAATCTGGTGAGTTTCGAATATCATAACGTGTAATGTCCATATAATTATAATTTGTTCGATTATTGATTTGACTGCGTACATGTCATAGTTTAATGTCAATACGAACAAAAATAATAATTCCACGTTAGATGATGATATGACATTATTGTAATAATGAGCATATGATGATTATTCGAATCATAACGGAATATGTCGTCGGCCGTTCCATTTTTGATATGCGTTCGCTCGTTGCGGTCGCCAATTCTGTTGCCTGTTCCAAATACGGCTCAACAGTACAAAGAAAGAAATTAATTCCTTCCAACAATCAATGTTCATTCTTTAGAATTGATGAGAAATTTTTCAAGAGTCTTAATTGTTTGAATCATTCATCTATGGGCCTGAACAAACATTCATTCATTCAGTTTTATTAAACTCATAATGCACGTACGTTCACAACAAGTCATTGAATATCACTAAGGCTATGGAAGATAAAAATGTTCATCAGTTTGAATGTTAAGTACATCTGCCAAAAAAAAATTTTTCTTGAAAATTCTGTTTTAATCAGAGAATTTTCCTTTTTTATTCTTCATTAGTTTTAAACACGAATACTTATTCGCTCATTATCGTTTAGCACATCAATTAGAGGAAATTATCATCAATGGAAATGGATAGTAGTTGTATGATATTACGAATTAACTAAAGTTGAAAACATAAAACATTGGGTGCTAAAGCAACTGTTTGAGAGTTAAACGCTTACTGTGAAGTATAATTGTCCTGATATGATGCCTAGTAATGCCATGGATCCTAACTTCTTAGGAGTCACATACTATGAAAAAACATTCATCTAGTAGTTTCTGTTTTTCTATGGCCTTCTAACAAAAGTAAATCAATTCAGTAAACCGTCAGATTTAGTAATCGCAACAACATATAACAAAACACATTTATATTCTTTCCTATCCTTCGTGGTCACGCATATAATTTATGAGTGCCTTTTCCAAACGGTAGTCAAATTAACACCTTTTGATTTCTGCAACTAATCAAACTCTGGGAGAAGACTTTTAGCCATCCAGTGTCACAGACTGAGACTTTACTGCTGAGCTATTCAGGTGTTGATTACCACTACAGGATGATTCAGTTAATTTCCAGTAACTCAGACTAGTAGTAGTGCTCTATCTTGATCAATCATCAGTAAAT